TTCACTGATTTTGAAACATTGCAAGAGTGTTTGTTTCACTGCTCTATATAAATTTTTTTCAACAGACTCTACGTATGTCTCAGCCTAGCTCCAGACGCTATACGCAACCGTATCATAACGATGAGAATTTTTATGTCGTTTTTTTGAATGAACAGGAAGCAGTTCCAACTCAGTGTATATGCTGTGGTGTCGATTTTTCTCGCCACCCGCATCCCCCAGAAGACATTATACTTGAACATTTGGAACGTTTTTGGAATCATCGCACCAGCACTTACACGACTCAGCAGATGCAAAAGAGGTATCCTCTTCTTACTTTAAGCAGTATTATGCTTCCTGGTTTTATTCTTTAAAGAGTCCATTTTTGCTACCAAAGTCTTAATGATGAAATTTTTCCCGGCTTCTCTTTCTTTGCAGATACATGCATGCTCGTCTGAGTTGCGTTCTGGCTCGTTACGACTATTTCACTACCCGCGATTTTCTTGCGGTTACTAACGATGTTCGCCTGCGCTTAACGGATCTACATCGTCAGTATTTAGGAGAACAGTTTTTCTGTACGGTGTAATAATTTTATTTTCATGAGACCTTTCACTTAGGATTTAAAACTTCTTTTTTCTCTTTGGGTTGATAACTTTGTCTTTTATTGTTTGTTATCTTTTGTGCCCATCGTTTAATATTTCTGCGCCATATATCGCAAATTTTTTTCTTGGTCTTTTCTGAAGATTCAAATTTTTTCTTTAAACTTTCTCGCGTTGAATTGTTTGAGGTGTGCGGCTTTTATTCATTTGCCGTCTGGAGTTGACTTATGTAATATTGTTTAGAAGCCATAGGTCGCATTTTTCTCAGAGTTCCATAGATCTCTGTTTTTTTTTTAATTTTAATATTTTGTTTTGTTATTTGGGTACTATACATTAATTTTGTTGAGATTAATTGATGCTTGGAGTGTACATGTTGTAATTTAATGTCGGGAATACTACCAAACGGATGTAAGTTAATTTTCTTAGAACAATGACGAGTAAGTTAGAGTGCCAGACAAGTAGGAAACAAGTCGAATATACACTATAGACTAGTTTTGAACTGCACAGTAGTGGACCTAGTTGGTGTTGGGTCGTAGAAGTAGTGTTTGTTGCGCCAATTTTACTTTATCGGTGGAAGTGTCGGCTGCTCAACAGTGTCATCCTGGATTAATCTTAAATTATTTAGACTCAGTTGCAGTCTGCAACTTTTTTTAAGTGCCATTAGAAATTAAAACCAAGTGTTTATTTGTGGGCTGACATAGGAAGTACATAGCGGGGTTCTTGTTATTATGGGCCAAATGCGGTGCTGAGTTGTGGCAAAAGTTAGAGGAGGTACACTCGCTAAAATTTTTTTTAGTTGCTTGGGTTTTAGGTAGAACTTGGTAATTTCCCACTGTTGATCAGTCTACACCTTGAGACGTTTGGGTTTTGCTTGAGTATTTTTTTGGGGACCACTCGTTAGGGTTTTTTGGTCGGGTGTTTCTAATGTTTATGAAATGCTTGCGTTTTTTGAATTCTTTTTGAGGGTGTCCTTCCATTTAATATCTAGAGACGGATGTCAAGATTTTCAAAGCTGCGTTTCTCTTGATTCATACGCACTGCAACCCTGAAAGGATGGTGAGAACTAATGGCATAGGTTCCGCTATATTTTCGAATGTATAAGAAGTGATGTTTGCACCGGACTGGTAGAATTCCCCATTTGTGTATTGTTGCAATAAAAATCCGGTTAGAAGCTGTGCAAAGTTTGAAGGCTGGGAAACTACACCAGAACATTTGTATCGTGACCAGTAAAGAAAGGAGGAAAGAAAGGTTTAACTAGAAGAGGTTGGAAGGAGTGAAGCAAAATATAATAATTGATGTGCCGTTTAAATAAGCTTCTTAAAATGATGAAGCAAGGAAATACATTTGTTGGGAAATATTCAGTCTATTAATGGTTCTAAGTCTGAGGGAAACAATTATTTGGTTACGTATTTTTGAAGAAGGCAATTTGTTTGCTGTTGGCAGCAGTAATTATTTACACTGTAGTTTTTGAAGTACTGTTTACTAGGCGAAACCGGCCAGATGATGTATATCACCAGTTTTTTATGTACCATGGAGTTAATAAGACTACTACCATTACCATTACCAACTCAACAAAAACAACAGCAACAGTAAATGATCGCTTTTTTTTTTTTTTTTTTTTTAAACATTAAGATCTGTAAATTTATCGTATGAAGTAGTTGGTACTGCCATTTGTTGCTACCTTTCGGCACCACAACTTCTAATCTTTCAGTACATGATGAATATACGTCCAAAATTATTTTAGAAAGCGTCAGTTTAGATGATACAGTTTATAAAGACTGGCTTTGATCTGACTGATTTGATTTCAAAAAAAAAAAAAGAATCTAAATCACAGCAAAACTTTGGTTTATTTAGTTTACGGTTGCTGAGCAATGTTTCTGTCTTAGTTTTTCCTTTATCTTTTAATTTTGATGCTTTATTTGTGGCTCTTAACTGTTTGGTGCAAGTTTATAGGGCAGCAAAATACCACAGTGAATTCGTTGGAGCTACTCAGCTGTAACGGTTAAGCAATTTTGCCGGTCCTGTTGGTTTTCTGGAAATTGAAGTTTTTAAGTTCTGTTTGCTTGATCTTGTTTTTTTTTTTTTTTTTCGATAGCGCCGTTTTTTCTTTTTTGTTTTTAATAATTTAATTTAATTAAGCAATTCACCAAAATTAATGTTAGAACAACTTGTTGTCCTATTTCGGTTGTGGAGAAACCCGTGGATTGTACTAACGTTCGATTCGCGTAAACAGTTTGTTTTTTTTTTTTTTTTTTTTTTTTTTTTTTTT